AAAAATTAATTTGTTAGTGATTAATTATTAAAAAATATATTTAAAAAAAATTTTTAAAAATACAACGAGTATCAAATTAAAGAGCGTGTAATATAGAAATTTAAAATTATTTAAATGGATTTATAAAGCTTAAAATTCGATTTAAATTAAATATAAAGATTAAATTATTTTCTTTATTAGTAAAGTACTTATTTAGATATTGGTTAAGGAAATCCTACGCATCTTACATCATCTCCTAAGTGTAGAACGGCTCTTTCATATTTTTATTTTTGTTTTGTATGATTATTATTTTTTTTATTTTTATTTTTTAATCGGCGCATGACAGCACCGGATGTTCTACCCCGAGGCATATCTTTCCTAAAGCCTCTACACCAGTGCTTTAACATTGCAGACATTGGATCGAGGCTATATGCCACTCGGCGTCGTCTGTTAGAATTGGCGCCAGTAGCTGTGTTAGTAGATGGAGATACGTTGGAGGTAGCTCCTCACATTTTCTCTCCTGTCACTGCAACTTCGACACTTGCATGGACCTGATTCTATACAACAGTTATAGATAGCATTTAATATTTTGTGATTTTGCTGAGATGGACGTATTACCTAGTGGAAGCATATTTAAAGAACTACAAGTTGTCCATGATACTGGCTACTTCTCAGCTCAGCCGTCCTTAGAAGACACATGGCAGCAGGTAGGAACCATTATATATATGTATATATAAGCATAAATTGCGCATTATACGAGAAAATGTACATACAAGGAGTTAAGGTACGCGTGTATATATATATATATATAAATGTATATATAATGTTTATATTTATATATACATATATATATACACATCACTTCGGAGAAGACATTTTAAAGGGTGGAAGAAAGAAATAAATACTTTATTCTCTACGAAAAAAAAGCAAATTGGTGTGTTATGCTTGGCTGCATTACTCGACGAAAGTTTTAAAAAATAATAATAAAAAAACTGTGCTGCAGGAAAAGTAAATCCGCATGATTTTCGTCATACAGACCCAGTACACCTGTCATAGTTTCCTGGCTGTAGGTTGCTGCTGCTGCTGCTGCTGCTCGCTTTCTTCCAGGTTTATGTTTATATCCAATCGAGTAAAAGATATTACATCAACTAAGATCTCAATATAACCTGGCCATATATGGATACCTGGCGGTAAGAGGAACCAATCAGATGTGCTTAAGTGAATACCATAGCAACCGGCAGCATTTCTAGTGTAAACAGATTTTTGAACGTAGTCCGGTACATAAACGTGGTACGTGTCTGTCCGCGGTTCTGTCTTACATCCCTACTGGCTTAAAAATAGCAGACATCTGGGATAGTAGGAGATCTAGATGAAGGGAGACTATTTTTAAAAGGTGTAGAATACTAAAATTATACTGTATTAGTTATAATAAATATTGTTAAAATGGCGGCTTGGATTAACTTTCATCATTCAAGGTCTCTCTCTCTCTCTCTTAGTCTTGCTCTCTTGCTCTGTGGTGCATTAAAAAAAAGAAGAGTAAAGCCTGTTTCTAAAACGTGATTTAACCATTGTTATACGTCATAATAAATAATGGTTATTTTATTATTTACGTTATCATACATGCAAAACTTCTTTACAACTTAAAAGCAATATATGAATGGATGTTCATGTCTAGGTCATTCACCGACTGCTGTTCAACTTCAATCGATGGCTGCTGGCAACACCAGACAGACTTCCTGGTATTTGGCTGTCATCTCTGTTTCCTTGGTAACCGGCCACGTGATCTGGGCTGCAGTAAGGTTTCTTTCAAAATTAGCCGTTTGATGAGAGAATTGTCTTTGGGATACGAATAAGACGACTTATCCACAGAGAACAAGAGAGAGAGAGAGAGAGAGAGAGAGAGAGAGAGCAAGAGAGAGAGGGTGTTGAGGAAAATCGAAAGCCATTCACTGATTAGAAGACATACTACACAGAATATCTGTTAGACCTTCTTTTTTTTAAAGCACTAGCTTCGTCAGCTAATTATAAAAACTCCTTATGCATCACTTAATATGCATAATTTATAAGATTTTCTTCCCTGCTAACTTTAAAACGTGCTCTTAATAAGATCGAATATTCTTATCTTTGATCTGATTTACAGACTTTAATATATACTGTACATGCAAAAAAAAAAGACTTTTGCATGGTTTTTTTTCTCTTGCAAAATTCTGGAAAATATGTTTTATAAATTAAGAAAAATCGTAAATTTATCGTGTGTATTAATATATAAAAATATCTACTGTACTATAATCTAAACGAGTTTAACTCATATTGTTTTACAGTAGAAAATATTTTCTTTTGTGACGTTTATTAACTTAGCACGTTTTTATCACTCACGTATTGTCTATAAAACGCTTTTAAATAGTTTTAAAGGCGTAAAAATATTATTTTCTTTATGTTTTTTTTTAAATAGAAAAACCTTCTATTAGTCTTTTTAGATGTGTGCTTTGCTTATTCTGGAGGTAATTTAATTTTTCTATTCACATAAACCATTCGAAATTCCTAACACGAGGTTAGAAAATTTCCATCATTCGCTAGCAAACAAACAACTTNAATTTTTTATATGTATTTAAATTAAAAATTTGTTCATTTTTAAACAGTTTTCACTACTTTATTTAGATTATTTATAGAAAAAAAAAGTGACTTCTATGTAGATTTACGAGTGAATTTTTATCCATTTATTAATAATTTCCGTGGCTTAAATAAAATTTAAGGGTATGATAACTTAACAATTGACACTTTTCCACACCCGACAAAGTCATACAGATTAGTGAAATGCTTAATTAAAATTCATATAACACAAACGTGCCACATGATAATGCATTCATATGCTGTACGGACGCAAATTGCTTTTGAAATTTCTTATCAAAAATAATGAAATTTGTCATTTTTATCCACCTCTTCAACCCCCCCCAGCTCGAGACAATTTATTATCCTCGTTCAGGCGTAAGAATATGGAAATCAAAATGCACCAACAGCAAAAATTTTCCGTTTGCATAACTATAAGCGAGTTTCGTTAATTGATATTTAAAGAAAGAAATTATATATATACATATATACATATATATATATATATTTATTATATGTGAGATGTAGTATATAAATTATTTACGTTATCCATCATGAAGTGCAATGTTCTTTACATTATTAAAACAGAAAACATGATTTCGAAGCTTATATATATGTTAACTGCAAAATGCTTGAAACTGTACACGTGTACAATTTATACAGATATTAATACATTAAAAAATCTGTATTTCTTTATTTTGTAGCACAAAACGTTCTGTATATGTTTATGATTAAGTGTAAAGGTCAACTGTACAATGTACAATTTATACAGATTTTTTAGTATATAAAAATTGCGATATTTATTGAAAATTTTTATACTATTTCCCACGAATTTATAAAATATCACACATATAAAAATAATATTTACAGCATAAAGAGTACAGTTTAAATTCATAATACGCCAAGTTCAATATTCTTAAGAGTGTGTGTACATATATTGTTATTATTTTGCTAAATATAGTAAAGTGAATTGTACTTTGCTTACGAAATGTAATAATTTAATAGTGATCCATCGCATAAATTTGCATTGTGCAAAAGAAAAAATAAAAATAGAACCGTGCAAAAGAAAATGTTACGTTTGTGTCATAATATATTTATTTGCAGAGATGATAGCATAGGAGAAGGGTAATATTTCTCGAGGTTACTTTTGTCACATAATATTTTTATGAAACACGAAGTGAGTGATGTGTGGGCTGAACATACTTCACAGTTCTGCACGTTGGATTTTATCACACAGACTGGCATTTCTCAACTGATGTGTATACAGACAAGGTTCACCGCTATCACAGATAGAGGCAAATCTTTGAAGATAAACCGCATACCGATGCTATGAAATGTCATCTTAATCAAGAAATGAACGTTACACATTATTATCTAACTCCTACGTATGTTTAATTAAGATATTTTAGTGTTATTCGATGAAGAAATCACCCCCAGATTACCAAGCATCGATCGAATTTATTCCTCTTACCTTTCGACTTTGCAAATTAATTATGGCTCCGATTAAACTGTTAATGATCTAATTGCAAATTGTACACCATCAGTTACCTACTGTTGAGCTCTCTAGCAGCTTTTGTTGATGCTATAATGTACTGTTAACGCGTAACACATTATACAGTAATTGACCCATATATATGTCTACTGGTAATAATTCGATTATTAATGTATTAATAAGTCTGTCGAGTGCTGTTTATCGATCGTTGATTAGTTTTCTATCGATAAAAATGTTTCCTGTGCTTACTTTAATTAATCATTCAATTAAATTATTGATTTAAGTTCTCCTATAATCGATTAGAAATTATCTAGAAGACCTTGAGGAGTCCGTATCCTTAATAGAATTACTAACTATTAAAGGGTATATAAATCAGTTAAATCTAGATTGACGGCATTTATTATAGATTAATGATTCATTTTAGGTGATTTTTATATATAAATTTTCTATTTATAAGCGTATTTTTTTGCATCAATTCTTTCTGTTATTGATTAACTGGCGTTTGTTAAGTTGTCGTTTAACGAATTTCGGTTTTAGTATCGTTTAAGCATCATTACTCAAGTCAATAAACCTGATTTTAAGGTCGATAAATGTAAGATTATGCTGTAAATTCTACTTTTTCCCATTCGACTTTAAGATATTTAACTTAAAAATTCATTCATTTTTTAAATGCATTAACCATCTTTATCATCCATTCATGTAGAAAGTTGATCACGAATTTTAATAAATTATTATTATTATTTTAATTTTTTTAAATTAAAATCACTAATGTGAAGAAATTATTTGCTTCTTTTAAATGTTTTTTAAAGCATTTATAAATATTTTTTAAATTTTATTTATTATTATAAGCCATTTTCTTACGAATTTCGGTTCAATATTAGGTTCAGCATCGTTGCTTCAATCGATAAGAACGTGATTTAAAGGCTGATAAAACGTTTTTAAACTTGATTTTTTAATCAAATTTCTTCAAATTTTATGAGTTAAAAAAGCTAGAAATATATTAATTAATTTTTTATATGTATTTAAATTAAAAATTTGTTCATTTTTAAACAGTTTTCACTACTTTATTTAGATTATTTATAGAAAAAAAAAGTGACTTCTATGTAGATTTACGAGTGAATTTTTATCCATTTATTAATAATTTCCGTGGCTTAAATAAAATTTAAGGGTATGATAACTTAACAATTGACACTTTTCCACACCCGACAAAGTCATACAGATTAGTGAAATGCTTAATTAAAATTCATATAACACAAACGTGCCACATGATAATGCATTCATATGCTGTACGGACGCAAATTGCTTTTGAAATTTCTTATCAAAAATAATGAAATTTGTCATTTTTATCCACCTCTTCAACCCCCCCCAGCTCGAGACAATTTATTATCCTCGTTCAGGCGTAAGAATATGGAAATCAAAATGCACCAACAGCAAAAATTTTCCGTTTGCATAACTATAAGCGAGTTTCGTTAATTGATATTTAAAGAAAGAAATTATATATATACATATATACATATATATATATATATTAACGCCGATTTCATTGGTTATATTTAGAAAGTTAATTGCTCCATCACGTTCCTTTGTGCTCGACTTGTCACATGCAAC